GGGGGGGGGGGGGGGGGGTACCGGGGGGTTAGGGGTAGGAATTATCAATTTTATGAACGGAGCTCCGTAGGAGGACAGTGGCTTCCGTGGTCACTGAAATCCAGTGGTCATGAAACCGGACTCTTCAAATACTTGTATATAGCACTCGAATACTACACCTTAATTGCCATGAACATTTAAGAAAATGTGTATAATATTCGAATGTTATAACTAGTATTTGAATGTTTTTTAAAATCTGAATCTTTCGACTGTGGATAGTATTTGAATGTTAAATATAACATTCAAATATTTTTTGCCACTAGAATCAAATATAAGACAGAAAAAGCTTATTGCATTTGAATACTACAAAGTAAAATTCTAATACTGCCTGAAAAATTGTGTTAGATTGCTCCAACTGTCGCTCGTGGTCGGATTTTCTCTAGTATGAATCAAACCTAGAACTTGTCATACACTCATGCTCAATCTAGATAATATACGTCTCATCCAATGACGTATTTTGCAAATATCACCGGAATAATAGTAATGTGAAATCAATTACGCAATTCGTTATTTATACTCCGTCATTTCCATGTACTTTCTAAATTACCAACATTGCACATTAGCATCCAAATTAATCCTCCTAAATTTCCGACAATATTGTACGGAGTAATATACTCCTTCCGTTCTAAAATAAAAGAGATAGTTTGATTTAAAAAGAAAAAGCTAAAATTGGTATAGAAATTATATACTCCATTTAAAAAGAACCATAGCTGGAAAAGAACAAGCCATGATGACAAAAGTTGAAGAACAAGCAGAAGTATTTGCACGCTAAATGATATTTTCTCTCTTTCTTTTGTTTCTTACCTTTTCTTTTTCCTAACTTTGTTTCCATTTTTCACTTTCTAATTTCTAACACTACTTTCACATCAGGACATCATTTTAAAAAGTCAGCCATTGTGCGCTCAAAATCTTTACAAATGATTTCATCTCCCACACCAAAAGCTTTGATGTCTTCGCTTAACAAAGGAAAGTTCAGACATAATTATTATAACTCCATGTTATTATTATTATTATTATTATTATTATTATTATTATTATGTTTTCCTCATTAGATTTCAATGGCATACTATGACATTTGATTCATACCCCGTACATTGCTTTGTTGGACTCGGAGTCGGTTCTTTCCCCCCTAACATCCCTCTCGAACCCACCCTTGCACCCCACTCTTCGTTGGGTGACAATCCACTGTAAAAAATTGACAGTGAGTTGTCACCCAAAAGGAAGCATGGGGTGGGCTACAACGGCGTCGAGGGTTTGAGTGGGGGGGGGGGGGGGTATGATCCACTTTCAGGCCTAATAGGGCACCACAGGGACCTCAAATGGACGAATATCATATTATGACATTGGCCACCAATGTCAAAAGAATCTTAGCCGTGTCGGGAATTGCAATTTGCACTTACAAAGTGAGAGTGCAAATAACTCATCCTTCCACGCACATCAAAAGAAACAACAACAGCAAAAGCAGCCCAAGACATTTCAGATTCATTGGGTTGGTTGAAGTGTCAAGTCCCATAACCAACACATATTGTAATAAGTTGATATTCTCAGTAACTAAAACACCATTGTATGATTACCTCAACCTTTCTGGTGGCCCTTTGCCACCTACCACTCTACCAGACCATAATTCTCATTCTTTTGCCGGAGAAGAAACAAAAAATAATCGAACACCAGAGGTTAAAGATCAAACTTTGAACTCCGTTAAGTCTTACAGGAAGTATGATCTGGGTAGGGTGTGTGTACTCGGACTTTACTCATGTTCAAAAGTATAGAAACTGTTTCCAAGAAACACAGACACAGTAAATACAATAGCACACAACCTAAAGATAACTGGGGTAGTGAAAAAAGGAAAAAAAAACTTGAGAAATTCTGATTGTTCATGTTATAGCTAGATTCATCTGTAAAAGTACCAAGAGACCTTGCCTAAAGTATTACATCTCGTAGCATCTTTTCGTGTTCAATATATGTATATAATAAGTTCAAAAGAACAAACCTCAAGCATACATCTTTGCAAACTGCAGACAAAGTTGGTGATCCCGTGTATCTGCCCATCCTCCCCAACCTTTGAATCCTGCCTTATACCCTGTTTGGTGTGTGTGCAAATGCACTCCCCAATCCGATTTGATGTTCACAACCTTATCATCTTCTTGAAGATCAATGTTCACGGAACCATCGTCTATGCAAGCACCTTTATCCGTCCCTTGATGCAACCCACATCTCCCGAAATGGACAGCACTCGCCTTGGGCCCACGCAATGTATACACGGGCTGACCGAACGATGGGTAAACCGTGGCCCACATCGTTATATCCCAATTGTAATCATCGAATGTGCAAAAAGTTCCCGCCTTTTCGTGTATTTTCCTCCAAACGGTTCTGTTGAATGCATACCCCACGTTTCCCATCCTCTCTGCTATCAAAATCTCCCACCGCTCTCCCCTCGACTTCACGTCCAACGGTGCCAAATTTGCGGCGTAGCATTCAGGACACTTCCCGGGCTTTAGTTCAACAAGGAGCTGCAGATTCCGATACGCGTTTGGGAAAATGAAATGGTCTTCCTCTATGAAGAGGGTATGGCCCACGTGATTTCGGGTTTCTTTTAGTCCATCCCAAACAGTGTTCATCATCCACCACCAATGATGCTTCAAAGACACAATCTTTGGTGACCGGTGGTTCCCATACTGATCAGGATTCCCTGTACAGTTCTTTTCAACCGGGTCGTCTTTTTCCTTGCAATCTCCTGGGGAGATTCCTGGGAATCTGCCATTGAATATATGGGGAGAGTAAGGAGAGAATATTTGTTTCACTTGGCAGAATCTGATCTCTTCCACAATCTTGTTCATCTCATCGAAGTACCCATCATGACTAACAATCAGTAGGGTTTCATGAATCCCCGAAACTCGGGAAAGGCTGTCGACTACAACCCTTAGATACTTGGGCCGGTTATGAACATACAAAACAATCACAATATGATCCTTGGCTAACTTTGGGTACAAATCCAAGTTCTTGGGAGGCAACTGGTTTTTCAACTCCAATGAGATGGACAATTCATTTTGTTCCGGGAGACGTGAGTTTGATTTCTTCATGGGCTCTCTCCTAAACTCCACCAACTCCAAATTTTCGAAACCCTCATTTTGTTTATGGAGATTCGAGTTTGATTCCTTCACGGGCTCTCTCCTAAACTCCTTCAATTCGAAATTTTCGAAACCCTCGTTTCTGTAAATGGTAACTAAAGCACCAAATGATTTGGTCCTAAGTAGCACTAACAGGAATAACAATACCCCTAATACAGTGATCAGAATCAGAGACAGCAACCGACGCAAAGCAGCTTCTTTAATTCTGCCTTTTCTATAAGAAGACATCACTTTAATCATTCCCAAATCTATCTAAAGTTCAAAACATTTCCCAGCAATTACATCTTCCCATTCTTGCAGCAGTGCAAACAGATCGAACCGAGAAACATCAATTTTTTTTAAGTGGAAATTGAAACATACCCAGAGAACGAAATCCAAGACTCGGCAAATCTGTACTGTTGAACTCCAGAAGAAGACGAAAACCCCAAATCTGCCGAGAGAATAGTGGGACTTTGATCATGTTTTTCTACCCAAGTACTTGGGCAAAAAAACTAAAAATCCCTTGCGGAAAAATCAAAACATACTGCTTCAGCTCTGACTTCTTGGAAAAGACTTTGAATCTGCGACTTGATGGAAAAGTCGGCGTTAGGAGTTGGAAAGAGAAGAAATATGCCTACAAGTTGAGATCTTGAAGAAGAAAGGAGGCACACACATTATGTGCTCCGCTGTAAACTGAGGTTGAGGAGGCTTCAAGGAACCGATATGAGGGGACAACAAATGTAAGACTAAATTGCTTTTGTTATTTTGACATTGGTCAATTTAAGAAATATTTTCACATTTGAGTCTAGAAGCCAAGAAGGTGGCTTATCTGAGGTATATGGAATGCAATGTTGAGGAGGAAAGAGCGGCGTTACGAGTGGAATAAAAGAAGGCACGTAAAGAAGCTAAGTTAGAGGTTACGAGGGCAAAGAATGCCGCCTTTGAACGCCTCTACAAGGATATAGAAGAGAAAGGCAGTGTTAATCAACTGTTCCGACTTGCGAAGGTGTGTGAGAGGAAGGTCCGAGATCTGGACCATGTGAGATGCGTGAAGGGCAGCGATGGTAGAGTGTTAGTTGAGACTGCCAAGGTGGCTAAGCGCTGGGGGGAGTACTTTTGTGAACTCTTAAATGCGGGAGGAGACCAGAGGCTTGATCTTGATGAGTTGGGGCAGTTCGAGGCATCTCGTGTGTATTGTCGGCGCATTTGTCTGGAAGAGGTGGTTCGGGCTCTCCGCGGGATGCATAGTGGGAGAGCTCTAGGACCAGATGAGATTCCGATGGAATTTTGGAAGTATGCGGGTCGTGGTGGGTGGGTTTGGTTAACCAAACTTTTCAATGTTATCTTCCGAACAGCTCGGATGTCTGATGAGTGGAGGGAGAGTCTCTTGGTCTCTCTGTTTAAAGGCAAGAGTGACATTCAGAGCTGCAAGAATTACATATGCATCAAACTGCTTAGCCACACCATGAAGGTTTGAGAGCGAGTCATTGAGTATAGGGTGCGGAAAGGGGTATGCATATCTGAGGACCAGTTTGGTTTCATGCCTGACACATCGACTACAGAGGCCATTCACCTCGTGCGGAGGTTAATGGAAGAGTATAGGGCTAGGAAGAAGGACCAGCATATGGTGTTTATTAATCTTGAGAAGGCATATGATGGGGTGCCAAGGGAGGTTTTATGGAGGTGCCTTGAGTCGAGAGGAGTTTCCGTCGCGTACACTCGCGCGATCAAGGATATGTACGGTGGGGCTAGAACGAGGGTAAGGACCTCCGGGGGTGACTCAGGGTCATTCTCGGTAAGGATGAGGTTGGCCTTTTTTGTTCGCCTGGGTGATGGACGTCCTGACACAAGGTGTTCAAGAAGGGGTCCCATGGTGCATGCTTTTTGCGGATGATATTGTGCTTATCGACGACACGCGTGGGGGACTTAACGATAAGTTGGAACGATGGTGCCTTGCCCTTGAGAACAAAGGATTCAGAATAAGTAGGAACAAAACTGAATACATGGAATGTCGTTTCAGCAGTCGGGAAACGGAATCATAAGTGGAAGTTAGGATTGACTCTCACTTAGTGCCTAAGGTAGACAAGTTTCTGTATCTTGGCTCGGTAGTTCAGGCTGATGGGGAGTTAGACAGGGATGTTGGGCATCGTGTTGGAGTGGCTTGGGCCAAATGGCGGTTGGCTTCAGGGGTGTTGTGTGATCCGAAGATTTCACCCAAAATGAAAGGTAAGTTCTACCGGTCCGTAGTCAGACCTGCTATGTTATATGGGGCAGAGTGTTGGGCAGTTAAGATGACTCATGTGCGTCGTCTGCATGTGGCGGAGATACGGATGTTACGATAGATGTGTGGGAAGACAAGGTTGGATAGGATTTCGAACGAAGTTATCAGACGTCAGGTAGGCATGGCGCCGGTGGAAGATAAGTTGCGTGAAGCGATGTTGAGATGGTCTGGTCATGTGAGATGGCGAAATGTTAACGCCCCTATACGGAGATGAGAGAGGATTACGGTCGTCGGGGGAAGTAGGGGAAGGGGTAGACCTAGGAAGAATTGGAAAGAGGTGATTAGGCAGGATTTAGGAATTCTCACCCTGACTGAGGGTACTTGGTGTTTTATTTCTTCTTCTCAAAAATATGTGCTAAAAAACATATCCCATCCATATGACACTTAATATTTTTATATCAAAACAAGATTTTAAATTTATTATCAAGGTATTTATGTCATTTATTCATTTTTAAAGGGAAATAGTATTTGGACTCCATTAATTGATATTGCCACTCCAAAGTGCACTATTACCTATTTCGTATGAACAATGTATTTTGAAGTGAGAATAGCAAAAGTTGAGTATAATCATTTCAATTCCTTTTTTAAACAAATAATTTTGTTTATACCTCTAAAACAAAATTTAGATTACAAGCTCTAAAAAGAGTACCACACAAAGTCGTTGCCACCACCAATCTTCCACCACCACTCTCCTAGAATTATTATATATAGATCAGAGTAACAACATGCCTGTCAAAATTATAACGAATAAATTGATGCCGAATACTAATCATTTCAACAATTTTTTAAAATTGACATTGAAATAAAAGTGAAATTAATACAAACAAGATGTCATCAACATGACTATATTACTCCCTATTTGGTCAAGGAGTAAATTCCATAAAAAATGTATATGTATCACCCAAGAAAATAAAGAATGACTCAAGAATACATAGAAAAATTTCCTACACTTTGCTATTACTAACCTAGTGTGATGTAGCCAAAAAGAAAAAAAGAAAACATATAATCTTACTTCTTATAGTTGTGTAAGGATTTGTAAAGCACCATTGACACATATTTATTGCGAAATCTGTGGGTTGAGTTTAGAGCCACAGTAGGGGATTGAAGATGGGGGCCTCTTTGGACATAGAGATGGTTCAAAACTGCAGGGGAAGGCTTTTCAAGAAGATGAAGATTATTATGGTCTCGATGAAGATCATCATCATCATCATGGCCGCCACCGCCTCTTCTCGAGGAAGAAGATGACGAATATGGTTGATCCAGTAGTGAGTGTTGAAGGAGAGATGGCAGCTCGGGCACCTTAGCGGTGAGGTCTTCAGCGCTGAGGGGTGCCGAGTCGTAGGTCGAGAGAGGGGAGGGTGGCGACTCCGGCCAACTGATCTTCGTGTTCGGGACACCTCCAAACCCAATCATGCCCTGCAATGAAAAATGAGTATTCAGTTGCTCGTAAATGAGTACTCACTGCAGATGTATGAGAAACACTGTACAACCGCCGTTTTGATGGAGTAAAAATGATGGGTGGATATATAGACACATGCATACCTTTACCTCCAAAACATTGAAGATATTTCCCAAGGAATCAAACTCCCATGGAAAATGGGATGCACATCTCCATTGTCCATCAACTATAAACCTAAAATGATAAACCCCAGCTGGAAGCACCTTCATAATAGTGAACAACCCTTCTTTCTCGTCGTCTATTCTTTGCAAATATTCTCTAGTCACATACAACAAACAAATATATGTATATGTGGGTAAAATTTCCAATGTGACATAACATTATTTTTTTAAACAAGGACAACCTAAACCAAGTGATGCATAAAATAATTGTTGGCCGTTTGATGGAACATATATATATATATATATATATATATATATATATATATATATATATATATATATATATATATATATATATATATATATATATATATATATATATATACTCTTTTTCCATAAGTTTTTAATGTGTTTAAGAGACGCAATTTTAAAATAAACTAGAAACTGTGTATAAGTTTTAGTCATTACAAGTCCCTAAAGAGGAAAATATGAATATTAAAATTGTAGAATGGTGATTTTTTTCCCCAAAAACCAATTGACAATGAAAGAAATAATTCATATATATGATTATAGTGTTCGATGGGAGACTAGTCTACACATCCTCAGCATCCCCACTCAGTTACAAGTGCAACATGAGTCTTTCACTTGTCACTTGCTTGAATAGATCATAAAATACCTGCACTTCTTTGAGCTCATAGTCTTGGCTCTTAGTTTATACTTCCTCTGTCTCATAATTTTTTTTTTCTAATTTTATATCTAACCGTATTTATCCCAACAACTACTTTCTACGCTATACCCAGTTTGACATTTCCGGAGCCCTAGACGCTTCAATTGTCATTGTTTCACAATTTTCAAACTTCTATTGCTTCCCCTCTCAAAAATCAAAACAAGAAATGTTCTTCGGGTCGTAAGAAGTATAAGATATCGCCTGGAATTATGAGCTTCTATCCCAACATCACTTCAAATGCAATGAGTAAGTCATATTCTTTTACACGAGTCCTTTTTTTGTTAACTTGGGTGTTTGATGTAGAAATTAGATCCTCAACAAAAGTTATAAATTTGATGGAAAGTTAAGACTAACTCAATCAAAAACATAAAACTTGGTGAGTTGCCCGACCTTCTACACTCCACGTATGAATCTATTCAGGTTGCTGATATTACGTTGACTTATGACTTATAAACGTACCAATAACAAAACTCTGGTAATTAATTAATTATCAATTGAATAGAAAAATATACTCAATTTAGACCTGGTATTCCAGTCATCCCATGATCCTTGAATAGCAACTTGATGAGCATGTCCATGACTCCATGTGATCATTGTTGGAATCCCTCCATACTCTCCTGCTGTCCCCTTTTCCTTATTGGAATCATCACTACTTGTGCTTCCCATCATCATTTCTTCAAGCCTTTGCGGCATTGAACCAACCGGTGCCTATACAACATTTAATTAATTATATATATATATATACACACACACACACACCCCAAGTTTAGAATATTATGCCCACTTATTTATATATTCTCTCCGTCCGTAAATGATTTATCAGTTCGGTTTACAAAGTTTGGCTGGAAGTATTGTCAATTTAATTTACTCCCTCCGTCCCACAAAAAAGTTCCCATTTTGATGTATTTCTGGTCAAACGGTTACACGCTTTGACCATAAATTAAATATAATCTAAATAAAAAAATGCTACAAAAAAAAATTGAGATATCAAAACTAGATCCTAAGATGAATCCAATTATATTAAATTTATTTTATAGTTCAATATACATTTCTCACAATTTGTAGTCAAAGCTAAGCGTGTAAATATTTGACTAAATACTATTCAAAATGGGAACTTTTTTTGTAGGACGGAGGGAGTATTTGATTATATGTGTAAACTTAAAAAATAAAAATTATATATTTTCAAACTACATCAAAAGGTATACAAAATAAGGGGTGACAAAACTATAATATTTTATCAAATAATTTATGGAAATAGGTAAATAAAATGACTATAATTTGATCATGCGAATAATGTCTGGAAAAATCATTTTATTTTGTGCGGATTGTCACCGTGCAACCCTAAGATTCCACTGAAAATGATGTTTTTTCATGAACCAAAATTTAATTATGGTATTTTTATTAAGGAAAAATGTCAACCGTCCGCTCATCATATTGCCTTTGATGGCCCCCAAACATTAATTATTAGACATGAAAAGAAAAAACGTCCCAACCATATTCTTTGTCTCACTGAAATTGGGACACTGAGAGCACCAAAGAATCATACGTCAAACTCAACTACCAACGCCTACTCTCTCCTTTAAAAAAATAAGTTATGCTAGCTTTCTCTCTAAGTATTTATATAATTTTGACTTTTAATGCTCCGCAGTCAATTATTTTTAACCTTATACATATAATTACATAAAATATACTCCCTCCGTCCCCCAGTTGTTGTCCACTTTTGACTTTTGGAACTGTTCATCTAAGCACTTTGACTCATCAAATTTTCTCAATGTGTAAGCATAAATATAGTCATGTGTGATCTTGTTTGATTTGTCTTAACATATAGATTATTAATATATAATTTCTATAATTTTTTAATATACAAGTTACAAGATAAAATGGATTAAAGAAGTGTATTGGATGATGTGTAAAAATGAAAGTGGACAAATACTCTAGGACGGAGGGAGTATGTAATACATTAATCAAATAAAATAATATTTGAAGCATGAAGTTTCTACCAATAATAAAGATAGATTTTTTTTTGTATCAGTTATATTGAATTGAAATCTTAATTCAATATACCTATGTTTGATGATTATTTTAAATAATTGTCTCAACATCTATACTTTCTTAAGATTGTAATAGCAATGTTAGACGTATTATGATTAACATTCAATTTATCTCAATTTTCAGGCAATTAAAATGGTACACTATGTATAGACAATTTTGATAATGAGTTAGAAAACACTCAACTTGACCATATATAGTAACACAATTAAATCAAACTACAATGCCAAATTATTGAGCGGCATCAAACTGACTCTCCCAAATAGAGGGCCACAGGTACTAACTTCATTGAGAAAATATTGACTCTTTATTCTTAGAAGAGGTATTCCTTGTATAACAAAATTAATAGTGCTCAAAAAAATCAAACTACCTTAAAAACCAATGAGAATAGATTAAATTGAAAACCTTACTCCTAATTAAGGTTCATTTCTTAAACATTTTAGACATTTGGCATTTTTTGGAGTACTTTAGCACAAGAATAATAGAAACCGTACAAACGAGCATACTCTAACAACCCGATATATATAAAAAACAATCATGCTAGGGGTACACCAAAAAGCGTATCCCAATTTGTACTCCTAGACTCCTAGTATAGAAATACATCAATATTTTAACGGTTTACACTAACACAAAATGTTAGTTCAGTTAAAAAAAATTGTACTGATATTTTTTGTCAATGTAAATAATTTCACTAGCATCATAATAGCACAAAATGTTTTTGAGGTACAAAATGGGGTACAAATTTTGGTGTACAAATAGCTTAATTCATATAAAAATCTCATAATAGAATTTTCAATTAAAAAATCTTCCTATATAAGAGTTAAAAAATAAAAATATCAAAATATGAGTCATAAGCCTTTAAAGATTAAAATATGAGCATAATAACATTATGATGTAAGATAACGTGTTAGTAGTGGGATAGAAAAAGTAATGACAGTGCAATATATATGACTGTGTGATCAGTCAATCATCGATGATCCGCGATGGTACTCTTGTGGCCGACAACAACGAATAGTAGTGTGTCAGTTACAATGTGACAATGTGGTGAGTGTGACAGCGAGCAATGACAGTATGAACTCTTAGTTTGGTCTTAAATTATTAGACTCATAAGCTTTTGTTTTCATTTTTTAAAAAAAATAATACTTAGTATTTCATAATATAATACCGGAGTACTATAAAATCTCAACACACAATGTCAGATTTGAAGCGTTATTCTTCTCTAGGGACAAAAACATACTCCCTCTGTCCACAAATAAACTTTACATTGCGCGTTACGATATTTGACTGAAGTTATTTTCAAATCATTTTATATGAAAAATGGTGTAGAATTGAAAAATAAAAATTACATATTAAAAAACTATATCAAAAGATCTACAAAACTAGAGGTGACATGACTATATTATTTTATCAAATGGGTGACGAAAATATGCCAATAAAATTTGACCCTGTGAATAGTGAACGTAAAATTTATTTGTGGACGGAGGGAGTATACACGAAGTAGAAAACTTAATATGGGGCAGTTAAAATTTCATTTGAACTTTGAAATTAATCACTAGAAAGTTTTAATGCTCCTTAAAAATGGGTACCTGACGATGAAGAGGAAGAAGAGGAGAATGTAAGCTTTGGGAGACCTCTTCCATGTCTTCTTCTTCTCCATCTTTTTCTTCATCGTCTTCCGCTTCCTGCAGCAACTTCCCACTTATATTTCCCATGGATCACTGCGCACAAATAAAAGTTTCCAGCAACAAAAATATTCTTGAAGATGATCAGTTGATGATGGAGTAATGCTTTATTAATAATAAGCACACAGGAAGGGTATTTATGTCAAGAAGACGCACAAGAACTTACATATGAAGGAATTGAGTTGAATGAAAGAAAAGGCAAGCCCAACAAGAGAGATAGAAGAGGAAATGGATTGAATTAATTGAGAAAATTTAAAAGGTTTTAATAAGCCATTGGCTCCACGTATATACATAACAAATTACCTCTCTTCCTACCCCACCCCTACCTCAATGCTTTAAAAGCAAACATGAATCATGCTAGAAATGCACCACGGTTACGGTTACTGGCACAGACGACAATCACATGTGATTTTATACGTACGCAGACGATAATCATCTTTGTTTATTCACACACAGTTATGATCTGTGTGTGTATGTATAAATCATTTGTAATTGTCATTTCTGAGAATTTTTGAAGGAGTAAGAGAAGTGAAGTGTTGGGATACGCTAGCTAGCAACTCCTAGTGTTGGAATTTCGGTGAGCTGACAGAATTGGATAGATCGTCGGGTGAGATTCAATCACTTGCCCGTGTATAGTCCATATTCATTTCCTAGCCAAAAGTTAATGGATAGTGTTTCACATTTCTTTATATGGGGGTATAATTTAATGAATTTTTTCAGTGTGGAATAGAACCTAACACACGGTGACTTCCAACATCTAGGTGTACATGCACCACTTGGTTTACAACATTTTATACACCATAATTTTGCATCAGTACTTTGATACTCCCTCTATCCACCATAGATCTTTCCAGACACTATTCACAGGGTCAAACTTTAATCACTTTGTTTGCTCATTTTTGCTAGTCATTTCATAAAATAATATAGTCTTGTCACCTCTAGTTTTGTAGAACTTTTCATGTAGTTTATTACTATATAAATTTTATTTTATAATTTTACTCCTATAATGAATTAAATTGAATTGAAAATAAAATCGGTCAAGCCTCGTAACGCGTAATGAGAAGATCTTACATGGACGGAGGGAGTAGTTCACACTAGCATTAAATGTCTTGTGTAAAGTTTATGATCGCACCGACATTTTGTACATGTGTGACCTATCAAAGTGCTCGTGTAAAACTTTGATGTACAAAATAGTGTACAAAAGTGTCTTATAACTAAATTAAAATTATTAATTTTGTATTTTTGATAACTAAGACCAGATTTGGATTTACTTGCGTAAGGGCCTGCGGATTTTCCGGTGTATTACTTCCACCAGCCCAACCCAACCTTTGCTCAAAAAAAGCCCAATCCAATACTAAAGACTAGGGTCCAAAAAAAGTCCATATTTTCCTCAGCTCCTTATTGCGGTTCTGATCGGCTTTCCACATTATCAATTTTGCAAAGGTATTTCTTCCGTCTTCGTGAATCGTTGTAGCGCCCGCAGACCGCCTCTCGCCGAGCACTTTTGACCGTCGGCCACTAGCGGCAGCGCCTGCCGGTCTCCGCACCGCCGCCCCGAAGCACAGAACATACCACAACGGGTCAGCAGCCAACGTCTTCAGGACTTCTGGAGTTTATCAGGTAATTCTTTTAATATTTTGCCATTTTAGTCTTAAAAATTGGGTTATGTGTTATTCTGTTAGCTATGATAATAATAATTAATTTTATTGAATATTATCTCGTACCAGATTATTCGTGTGGTTCGACTTTTTCGAATCGAATTAGAGGTATTTTAGTATGAAAGTGATTTTAATATATTTAACTTTTTTAGAACTTTCAAAAATTTATTCCTTTGTATTAATATTTAATACAAATTGAGAGTAGTTGTTGATTAAAGTTTGTCTAGTTTGATTCGGAAAAGTCAAATCGGACGAATATTCTGGTGACAGAGGGAGTAATAAAGATTAAGGGGCTGTTTGTTTCAGCCTTTTAATGGTTCAGATGTCTGAATGGTTCAGCACTTAATGGTTCAGACTGTTTGTTTCAGCCTCTTAATGGTTCAGATGTCTGAATGGTTAAGAGATTTGCCTCTGAATGGTTAAGTATTATACAGAGTCTGAATGGTTAAGACCTCTTATCTGAATTGATCAGACATTTGCCTCTAAATAGTTAAGCAATATACTAACTCTTAATGGTTCAGACCTCTTACTGGTTCAGCACTTAATGGTTCAGACCTCTTACTGGTTCAGCACTTACCTATTCAGAAGTTGCCAAACAGCCCCTAAATGGGTGATGGAAAATATATACTCTCTTCTTCCGAAAATGTTCTTACTATTTGACTTTTCTTTGTCAAAATTTTGTAAAATTTGACTCCGATGTATAGAAAAAACACATTGTATTATGAAATAAATTTAATATAAATATATTCATATTGAAATGTAGCTTTCAAATATCAAAATTTTATAAAATTAATATGTGTATAAATATAGATATTAATGCTCAAAGTGCAACATTGGAGACCGTGAAAAGTCAAATGTGAGTAACATTTTCACATAGAGGGAGTAATCATATACAAAGTACTTTATGTTCTAATGTCCATATTATTTTTTGTCAAAAGACTAACTCAACCAAGAGTTCAAGTTTTTTCTCTCGGTTTTCTCTGTCTCAATCAAGCTTCCTTAAAATGTATAAGACATATATATATATATAGGTGTGTGTGTATATATATATAGGTGTATATATATATATATGTATGTATGTATGTCGCCTAGTCATCGCCTAGGCGATATGAAGGTACATTAGCGCCTCGCCTCGCCTTGCCGCCTTACAAACTATGGTTATGAGTGAGAAGAATTTGACACAAATCTAAATTCAAAATTGTTAAGTTTCCCAAACATGGAATTTGAATCAAATATAGATTTGAAATCCAAATTCATGTTCCCAAACATACCATAAAATAAGTCTTTCCTTACGTTTGTTCATCTTCATGTTTGGGATCCTCCCCGAGAGGACCGGGTGCAAGGGATTTATATACTTTAAATCTCGTCAGAATAGAGTTTTCATTTCCGATCTACCCCCAAGCAACTGGCGGTGGAACACATCTTTCGTCTTTGTCGACTTCTCGAAAGCCGACTTTCCTCTGGGTGGTCAGCGGTGGAACCACCACTTCATTAACCACGAGTACGGCCTACCGGCCACGACGCCACACTTGGAGCTGATCTGGAGAAGCTTCTTAGTGGTGATCCTGACACGGGAGGGAAATTCCTTACAAGAAATTCGTCAAATTGGGACGGAATATTTCTGTCGCAAACTCCTTATTTTCTCTCGCAAACAAGGGTTGCGACAGGTGTTGCGACGGTTTGGGTGTCATTGTAGTTTCTTGGCCACAAACCTAACTACGACAAAGACGTTGCAGTTCTGCGATAGACTCTGCAACGGATAAGTTTCGTTGTTTATATCTGCGATGGATTATGCAACGTTCACTTATACTTTACGTAATGTACATTGCGACAACAATAAAAGGTAGGAAAATGCTATAATATTTGTGACAGAAATATTCCGTCGCAAATTCCGTCACACCTTTTACAAATTTTGCAAAATATGCAGCTGTTTCTAAAACCAACCAGAAAAAATATACAAATTTATAAAACATCTAGACAGGAAAACACAAAATTTAGTTTAGGGGAATTACAAACAAACCAAATGTTGATAAATGCAGTGTCTTAAAGCCTCTAAACATCAAATATCTAAAAAAAACATACTTAAATAACTTTAATAATGTTTAACAATGCTAATTCAACGTATTATAATGTTTACACACAATTGCACCACCTATACCATTACCATCTCCATCTTCAAAACGACCATCACAATGATTGTCGTGCAGTGTTTGAAATTCCTCCAATATTGTTCCGCCTCTCGCTTCCATCACCGCTTGAATTCAAATGATGGGGTGTTTTGGGTGCGTTGCCCCTCTGCTCTACTCTAACGTGATGAGGATTTACTCATGTGCTTTAACCGCTAACACTTATTTGACGACTTCGAGGTGTTGTTAGTCTTCCCCTTGCCTTTGCCTACCATCAGCATCCAAACTAAGTAAAACATGTCATTCCCACATAAAATCATTTACATATAAACATTCTCTATTACACTTAATAGACAAATAAATAAAAGAATATAAATATCAATCATTGAATTATAGGTGAAAAAACATAGCCAGCACTAGATTAAGCAAGGATCAAAATTCAATGAAAAAAACATGTGCGATTTTGATCTCAAAAAGAAAAGAAAGAAAAATTGCCATATAGGAAGAATTAACAATTATTGGAGCGGTATGGACTTTAAAGTAAGCATAATGACTTACCATATATACTATGAATTGATGGTTTTTTCACTCACGTCCCCCCCNNNCCCCCCCCCCCCCCCCCCGCCCACACCACCTGGCTGGACCTTACCCGTTGCCTCCAGCCCCAAAACAGAACCCAAACACCCTGGCCCCAAAACAGTGACCCAACCCCCCACCCCACACAGCCCCAAACTACAAGCTCTCGAACCCTCACAGACCACACCCTCCCCCTTAACAACGCTCTCACGTCGTGCGTTCGAACCACTCTACAGCCATATAACCTCAGAACAATAAATTTTATCCCAAATCCAAATCTAAAACAAGTATCTCACGAAACAAATAAGTCAATTGCGAAAAAATTTCAACCATACATACTTGAAATCAATGCAATTGATGTCAATGGTGGTCGTTGCTTCTCTTCTTTGCTCAAGCACATCGTCAGATATGACCTCTCTTCTTCGTCGAACACAGTGTCCCGTACCCTTTGTCTTGCCTTTTATTTTGCTTTTAAATCATTCCCGGCATGTTTCTTTGTACTTAACGAGTTTTCTTCTCCTTTTCAGGCATGGTATTCGAAGCTTATGTGATTCCAAGTGATGCTGGTATGGCCGGTCAAAGAAGTTCACAGCCAGCTACCTCCTCAAAGCACATCCCGGTCCAATCAAAGACCATGAAAATTGAGGATGAAGAGGGGGCACAACCCTCCCGGGAGGCTGAGCGGAACCCTTCCCCTAACAAGGCCAAGACCCAGCCGGCTAGGCGGCAAAGGGTCAAGAAGGTGGCGACCACTCATCCCTCCCTCAAAAGGCAGAGGGGGGAGTCTCAGCCGGGTTCTCTCTCCGTGGAGGATCTCTGGATCCAGCTGGGCCTGAAGCTGAAAGCTGTAAGTAAATTCCTTCGCCCGGTACTATTTTCATATGTTTAAACATTTCTAACTTTTCTTGATATTTTTACAGCTTGGTAAACTAGGACCGAAAGTTGCTGACCGATTCCGCGCATGCTCTCCCTCTAAGGTTGCCCAGCTGGAGGAGAAATTAAGGGAAGCTCAAAAAGAGTCCCGGGAGAAGGAGAAGAAAAACCGGGAGATGGCCGCTGTGATGATGAACCAGACGCAAGAGCTGGCGAACTTGTCAAAGATGGTCGGGGCAGTGGGTGCGGAGAATACTCGCCTGAAGGAGGAGAACTCGCGGCTGAAGCATGAAATCTCCAAGCTGAGGGAGGCTTTGGCGCAGAAGGAGCGGGAAATGCCCGCTCGGGCACTCGCATGGCTGGAGGAGAACAAAGTTGAAGCTGCCCGTGCGCTGACCGCTTCTCCCGAGGCAACCATTGAGTTCTTCAAGTTTTTGTACCGGGAGCCTGAAGGAAAGAAGATGATAACTGCCGTCATGTCATACGGCTTCAAATGCGGCCAAAAAAGAGACCGAGCGGCTACTCACCGCATCCTGGCAACCCGGGATCCAGACTTCTCCGCAGCAGCATATGGGCTCCCTCCTGTCCCGGAAGAAGAACCGGCTCCCCCCTTCCCCCTGGACTAAGCCTTTCCTTTCTCTTTGTAATTCTCCCCGGGTTGAAGCATTGTAATGACTTTTGTTATGAATGTTTTCTTTATCTTGATCTGCTTGCTCTCTCCCAGTAATCTTTGACTGCCTCATCCTCTATGTGGCTGACACATAGGCAATGTAACCAGTTATGCTCTCACATGTGAGTTGATTTGAAATAATTTAATGTACTTCCACACACACATGTGTGTGCGCGCGTGCGTGTGGGTTCTGGTGAGAATGCAATCTTATGAAAGAAGTAATAATGACTCTGGTGCTTTATATTTTGAGATCTAATGGTCAGGATTGTAACAAAATTAGATGCACCATAATGGTTTGAAAATGCATCATGTCAAAATGTACCAAATTTCAAAGGTTATATTTTATTCTTAATTCTTTCACCAGTAATATCCCAACAAGATTATGTGTTGGGAGAGAGTGTGGGACATCTGGTGGGCAGCGCCTACTCCCTTGGGTACTTTTGAAATGACCTTTTGAGCCTCCCGGTTTGTGAAGCATCTCAGGTTGTCCAACGAACGCACTTTTATTTAGCATGCCGTCGATGACTGTGAATCGGGGTGCCCTTATGTTGAGTTACAAAATGTCATATTCTATTCCCTCATTTCTTAGTACTTTTAAGATATTTTATAGGCATTTTATTCCTAAATAATCATTTTTTGTTAATTTGTTATATTTAGCATTTTAGGCTATTGTTTACATTTTATACATAAAATGCATGTTTTTGAGAATTTATATTATTTGATAATTGTTTGGAAGTATTATTTTTTTGAGAAAATTCTTTAGATACTCCGGTATATTTTAAAACATTAAAATTGAAGGAAATAAAGAACTGGACCTTTGAAGATTGGAGCCAAATTAAAGAAAGGAAGAAATGGTTGGGCCAAAATCAAGTTAGCCCAATTAATACGGAGCATTGAAATCCATTTACCAAATCATTCCTTATATCTATCAAATGTCAAAACAAAAGAAAAGTAAAAAAAGAAGGAAACCGGAAACGTGAAGGATAAACTTTAATATGAATATATTTCTTTTGATATATAGTTTTCAAATATCAAATTTTTACAAAATATATCTATGTATAAATAAAGATATTAGTGGTCAAAGTGCAATCTTGGAAATCGTAAAAAGTCAAATGGGAAGAAAATTACTGGACGGAGGGAGTATTAAATATTTTTAGTTTTTAATTTCAATTTTGTGTTAAATGTTTAAGTCATATTATAAGTGTTGAATTGTTTATCTGTTGATGTTGAATTGTTCAAAAGTTGATTTATTAAATTATTATTGTCTCTGAAATTATAGAACCTTCTTAGGCTAAATTGTTTGCCAAAAAAATTGAATCTTTGTTTGTTGAATTAGTTTGACTTTGAAGAAATTTTAGCTCTTTGCTACTGTTAAATCTAAACTCGAAAAGGTGTTCTGAAAACTATTATTCACAAGATTTTTACTTAAATTGGACTAAATTAGGAACGCGCGCCTAATCCAGTTTAAATAGATATTTTCTTAAAGTTCAAAGTACTTTAAATAGCCGAACTTTTCTAGAAATTAAGTGTCACTTGATTAGTCTTGGCTGCCCCGCTAAGTGGTTTTTGCTAATCAGGGTTCTCGAACTGACTTTGTTATATAACCGTAGTGGTAGTGCAAATTTGTTATGGTGATGTTTTCCACAAATCATAATGCGCTATTCTTAGTAGTAACTTAAGGGTTGGCCTTTGGGTTGCTAAGGATAATATGGTTTAGAGTTAGAATTGGTCCTACCATGAGCTAATATGAATGAGAAAATAGGGAAGAACCGTTTGTGAACCTCCTCTTCAACCTAACCCTGAGTTTAATTAGCAGTTTAATTTCAGTAGGCATAATTAATTAGTTAATCAGATTTGTTCAGTTTATTTTCTATTAAAAACTATAAGTATTTTCAAAAATGGTTTAAGTTAATTATTATTGTCAAAGTTTTTATAAAGTTTAAATGTGTGTTTGTTTGTGTGATTGTTTTGTGTGTTTGATGTCCCAGAGTGTTACTTCTGAATTTGAGTTGTTGTTGTGGTCTTATCTGTTATCCTTATCTTTATTTTATTTGGATTTTTATCTTTTTAGTATTATCAATCAAACCCCTATATCTCTTAGTTTAGTTTTAGTTTTTAGTTAATAAAAGTGACAAGTGAAGTGATTTTCATAGCTTAAAAAGTATCTTTCTCGTTGGATCGATCCTTACTTGCTCTATGTATATATTTTAATCAATATTAATTCATAATAGGGATTAAGAGTTAAGGAAAATAATAAATTAATTTGTATGTTCTACAACATGCCTATCTCCTTAGTTTCACCTGACGTGGCCTATCTTCTTGTTCGAGAAGTTGATCGGTTATCAAGTACTTCAAAAGTTCATTCATCCACCACTAATTTGCCTTAGTTTTTTTATGAATGTATTTTTTTTAATTAAATGTTCTTTTTTTATTGAACATAATTTTTATGAATTATTATCGTTTTAATTTTTCTAATTTAATAAATGTAGTTTTTTTATAAATTATTCTTGTTTCAATTTAATTAAATAGTTATATACGAGTAATTAAATTTTATTAATTTAATTTTAGAATATGTTTATTTTAAATATAAAAATAAAGGTTTGAAGCCCAATGTTTGAAGTGCCGAGACTTCAAACCCACTTCCAATGAATCTTAAGATAAGCTACAACTTACATGATAGAGAGAAAGTTTGAAGCCCTAGGACTTCACGGGCATTACGAGTGCACTTACTAGAGGTGAGCAAGTACCGAACCGATACCAAAATTTCCCGAAAAAACCGAGAATACCAAACCGAAAAATACCGAATCGAAAAAATACCGAGAAGGAACCGAACCATACCGAACTGAATGGTCGGTACGGTATTTGGGAACGGTACGAGGGGACGTCCCATACCGAAAATCCCGAACCGAACATATATACTAAAATATTATAAAAAATAATACCCCAGAGTAATATTTTTATATTTCACTAAATAATACTCCGGGTAATTTTTAAAAAAAAAAATTGTTCAAGTTCTATAATGTGTAAATTATACAATTATTTGAGTTTTAACTTTTGTGTATGAACATAAAAGTATTCACAAAGATTTGAAATACTTTCTCATTGTCCTTCATTTTTTAGTTTGTGAAATATAAACTAAGTCTTGATACTAATCTCTTGCATTTAAATATTCATTTTTTTTTAAATTTTTCATGTTTTTTTCATTTAAATTCACTTTTTAATTTTCTAAAATAAAGGGGCATTGTTAAATTTTAACGTGCAAAGTAGGTATATATGTTCATCACGATTTGTACCGAAACCGATACCGAATCATCCCAAACCATACCGAACCAATATTTCAGGATTGGTACAGGATAAAATCTCATACCGAACCGAAATATTTGGTACGGTATCGGTACGAGCTAAATACCGTATCATGCTCACCCCTAGCATTTACAACCCTCCCAAGCTCTGGCCCCACCCTCCATCTCCATCTTATCATCAATTATAAATGAACGGCTTACATTCACCCACGCGTATGTTCCGATGCAAATATTACTCCCTTCATCCGACGGACCTCCCCACTCCGCATTATTTCTCCCACCCGTAATTTTCGGATGGCGGATTCGGACAACGATTCAGGCGGATACAACGGCGGCGGCGGCGGCGCGAGCAGAGAATCGGCGAGGGAGCAGGACAGGTTCCTGCCGATAGCGAACGTGAGCCGGATCATGAAGAAGGCGCTCCCGATGAACGCGAAGATCTCCAAAGACGCCAAGGAGACGGTGCAGGAGTGCGTGTCGGAGTTTATAAGCTTCATCACCGGCGAGGCCTCCGACAAGTGCCAGAGGGAGAAGCGGAAGACGATCAACGGCGACGATCTCCTCTGGGCGATGACCACTCTCGGATTCGAGGAGTACGTCGAGCCCCTCAAGATCTACCTCGCCAAGTACAGGGAGCTCGAGGGCGAGAAGATCTCCATGGTCGCCCGCCCTGGGGAGAATAAGGACGGCGGTTCCGGCGGTGCCGGGACTTCGAATTCGGCCGGAATGTATGGAGGTCCGGTGGTCTACAATCCGGGTCATCAGATGTACGGATCCGGGTCATACCACCAGAGATAGGTCATCAGGTGGTATGATTATTAATTATTTTTCACCCCCTTAAATTCTATATATACTGCGAGGCGCGTAGTAAAATTTCATACTTGTCCTAATTTGTTGATCATATTTTATGTTCATTTCCAATTTATTGTCTTCATTTCCATTTATAGAAAAAAAACCACAGATTTTAATTAGATTTCAGTGTCATAAAATATCTTTGATAGAGAGACGACATCAACAACCCATAGTTGTTAAGTTCCATTTACAATTTCATTTTATTAATTTAATAATTTTCAATCTCCAAACAATTGTCCACTACAAATTCCAATGCCAGCATATCTAAAATGTTATTCCTCTCATACCCAAAAACAATTTGCATAAATCTCAAATTTTTGTACCCCATTTTGTACACCGCAGGTTTGCACCGATATTTTGTGTTGGTGTAAAACTAATTTTTGTTAACGCACCAACACTTTGTGTCCGTGTAAATTTTTGTTAACACACCAACACTTGTGTCGGTGTAAACCATCAAAATATTTGTGTATAACTGCGGTGTACAAAAGGGGTATAAGTTTTGGTGTAAGTGTAGCATGACCCTAGTTATTACCATCCAAAAAATATTCACATTCACTATACACAAAGTGAAACTTTATTCAATTTGTTGGCTTATTTTTGTTGCACATTTGATAAAATAAAATAGTAATGTGACATGTAGTTTTATAGATATTTTGATGTACTTTTTTAATATATAATTTTTCATATAAAATGATCTGAAAGTAAAATTTATTCAAACATTGTAACGTGAACGGGAAAATAATTTTTAGAGCATTATAATTTTTTGATAACTTTTGTTTGTTTAGTTGTTTTCATATATTATTTCATTCTAGTAAAAATGCTTAACGTTTGATTTGATACGGAGAATAAAAAAAGTAAAATTTAGTGGTTAAAAATGTTGTCGAGGAAATATAATATCAACCACATCAAAATCTTTTCCAAATTAAAAATAGATTTTTTCAGGACACACTAAAAAGGAAATATTGAACTTTTTATGATGAAAAAAATAAAATTAATAAAAAAATTCACATGAATACTTTAAAAAATTAGTGATTTTACGTTAATACTTCAAAATTTAATAATTTATACGGAGTAGCATTACTTCTAGAAATTGTTCAATTTTGTACCAATACACACCGGGTTGCCAACTATATATAATATGTTGGACTCCATATTTTAAATGAATATTTTAAATTGTTAAGTATTTATTGGTAACTAATAATTGATAAAAAAATAAAGAAAAATCATGCTCCAAACAAAATAAAGAATATTGAAATTGATATTTCACAATAAAATATATATTCGTTGAAAAGATTTTTAAAATAAAACTTTTAGCACTAAATGAAGTATAAAATTCTCTAATTCTTTTATCTGAAAGACTATTCATAATTTATCGGATTAAAACATAAAAATTTTATTATATCAATTTTAACACATTTTTATTTTAAATCAGTATGGAGGGGTAATTATAACGTATTCAAGGTATTTTCTTTATTTTTGTATTCAATTGCCAACATATAAATAGTTTTTGAGTCATCATTTTAATTATCATATATTCGCAACTTGGAATATTGGTATAAAATTGACTAGTTTCTGGAAGCAATTGTAAAAATCATTCGATTTCGGAGTACTAACGTGTAGAATTTCCTGGAGTATTCATGTGAATTTTTCCAATTAATAAAGTAGTTCTAAATATGTAATTTGTACATATTATTTTATGCTCTCTTCGTTCTTAAAAAGATTAATTGCCAGAGTTGGATTTTTTGGGTTAAATTGTTACACCTTTTACTACGAATTAAATATAGTCTAGAATGATTGAATATTATAAAAATTTGATATTTTAAAATTATATTTTAAAATAAAGCTAATTTTATTAAATTTACATTATAACTATATATATATATATTCCATAATTCCTGGTTAAAGGTTGTCATAATTTGACAAAAAAGTCAAACTGTAGCAATATTTTAGGACGGATGTGGTACTAATTTTTAAATGAAATGATCGGAAAATGATAAGATTTTGAATGTGGTTTCAACAATGTAAAATAATTTGAAAAGGATGACAACTTTTGACAGAATTTGTTTTTCTGTTAGAACATGGGCAATGGTAAAGCATAAATGAAATGTCACGCGCTGATCTGAAATGTTTTAACAAAGAAAAATAATCCAGTCAGTAAGTGGCAAGTGAATGGAATGACATGCACTACAGTGGCAAGTCGATGTTATCACTTTTCAAATTAGATTACAATTTTAGAATTACAATACAAACCTCATGTTTTTTAAAATCATTTTATTTAAAAATTATGATAAGGATAAAAAATAAAACTTACATATTAAAAAATTACGACAAAAGTTTTACAAAAAAAGTGACAAATATTTTATTTTAACAAATAATCAATGAAAACATACAAATAAACAAAAGATATCGAGGGGTGAGAAAAATTACAAAAAATATTTTCTCTCTCAAATAAAAATTTAAAAGTAAAAAAAATAGGGCGGGTGTGCCTCGCCCAAGCCTTGCACACTGTGGAGGAATGGTGCTTCTGCGCGCGAGGAAGAATATTTTTTATCCTAGGTGGCATGCTCTTATTAACTTAGGAGCGAAGTTTAATTAATTGAGATGTTTTGATTGATAGAATTTGGGATGAGTGTGGACAATTGAATTTGGTAATAAAATATTTGGATTGAACCACATTAAAAGATTGAATCTAATTGATTAGTTAGTTCAACTCAAGAGTTTATATATCGATTATTTTCCTTACACTTTTCTGATGTGAGATAGTTTTAAGATTGATTCTTGTTTTCTCTTAATACCTTGGGTAAGTGCAAGTAGTGACAAGACACAATATGCTCCACTTAATTTTCAATCATTGACTTTTCATTATTTTTATTTTAAATGGAAAGCGTGTAGTGGAAATTTGAGTGGATGGGAACGATATCATATGATATGATGGGTTTTTAATGTTCAAACAAACGTATTGTGGGAACTTGTGACTCTCACAATTGGTTTGTTAACACTTAACACGCGAATTTGCCACTAAAAATATATTTTACCTTTACATTATTGGATTTATCTTTACTAAAAATATTCTCTCCAATTTTAAAAGATTCTCATAGTTTAATTTTTTTTAGTTAAATTGTGACCCTTTTTGAGCGTAATTTATGGAAGATATATATTTAGTTGTAATGTAAATTTAATAAAATTGAGTTTATTTATACGGAGTAGTTTTGAAATATCAAATTTTTATAATATTTAATTATTTTAAACTATATTTAATTCGTAGTAAAAGGATGCCACAATTTGACTAAAAAAATCAAACTGTGACAATTATTTAGGGACGAAGGAATTATCTTCTATCTTTACATTATAGTGCGTAGTTCAATTTGACTTTAAAATTTAGACCAAATTACATTTGAATATGGTCTGAATCTCATCTCCTGGTATGGAAAGAAATACACTCCCGTCTCTTGGGCTTTCAAAAGGGTTGAGTATTGCTCCACGATCGCAGGGTGGAAAAGAGTATGTGGTTACACTATTTATATGGTGATACGATATCGTATCAAGATAGGGAAGGAAGAGAGAAAGATTAGGGTTTAGTAGAAAGTATTTTCTTTATTCATTGATTAATAATTTATTGAAATGCATACATTTATAGCTATGACATCTAAAGAATCCTTACCATAGAAGGAAACTAAATAATCTAGGAATCCTAATTATAAATGGTAACAAATATCCTAACAATACTATACTACTTTCTAATAATAATATAATTAACTAACCATATATAATAATACTACCTAATATAATAATAATAACCACTAACCATTAATAATAATAATAATAATAATAAATCCCGTATCACTCTCCCCGCCTCAGAAACCAACTTGTCCACAAGTTGGAAATTCAACAAAGAACGGGGAAAAGTGTGTCATTCATCGTCCATCCTCCGGGGTCAAACACCTTCATTATTGGAGCATCAAAAGAACGTGTTGGACCTACAGCATCTCCAACACGAGTTAAATAATTGCATGCGACCAACTCGATGAAAAGGGGTGCAATACTTCCTGATTTACAAATAACAATAACCTCAGCATTAGGCATTCCAAAGCTTTTTGTGCATCCATACACATTCAGATTGTCCCCAAAAACTTCCTCGCGGTCTTGGTGGTGTGCATCCTCATCAACATCGTCTACAAGAACAGGATCAGTAACAATAACAAAAGCATCATCGGAAATACCTACCGGATGAACAACAATTTCCTCCATCGTGAGTGACTTATTGAAACCCAGGACATTGGACCCACTTTTCATGTCATCTTCGACATGTGGTTTATTGCTTAAATTTTCCACAAGAGGACCAGTGTGTGCGGCTATGTCTTCCACGATCTGAACAATCAAGTCCCCAGCCGGGGCTAGATTTGGTGAAGAAAGTGGAGCACCGATGAGTTTCTTTATCACGCTCATCATATTTGTTTTGAACAAGTGTAACTCTATCGGGATCAAATTTGGTAAAATTGGGGGACCACGAACTAAATCCTGGATTGAGCAAGAGACCTCTACGGCGAACGCACATACCTCAGAATCATATATTGGTTGACCTTCAATTTGACGGAATGCCTGAAGTTTCTTTATAATTTCATCCACGGAATCTTCAACTGCACACACGTCTTCATAAAATTCAATTTGTCCCCGTAGAACTTTCTCGAGTAAACCAAGAATTATTTCCAACAGAGAATCCATTGGCAAAAGAAACACCACCACACAAAAATTGAATTGAATTTTGTAGCCGATTTTTTTTTGTATAATTTTTTTTGAATGAGTTCAAGAATGAAAGCACCAATTGATACGATATCGTATCAAGATAGGGAATGAAGAGAGAAAGATTAGGGTTTAGGAGAAAGTATTTTCTTTATTCATTGATTAATAATTTATTGAAATGGATACATTTATAGCTATGACATCTAAAGAATCCTTACCATACAAGGAAACTAAATAATCTAGGAATCCTAATTATAAATGGTAACAAATATCCTAACAATACTATACTACTTTCTAATAATAATATTGATGGTGTAAATTCCACCGGGTATGGGAAATAGGTAACTAGGTCGGGTTAGGGAGGCCTAACCGGGTAAATAAAGATGAGCTTAATAGTAAGGAACACAGCACAGAATTACCTAGACCGGGGTAAATCTCCCGAGTCCGAATATATTTCTTACTCTAAGAAGAGTGTACAGGATTTTATGGAAGTAGTAGTGAATTCCCTCTCCTCTCTCTATCACAGATTATTTATAGAGTAGAGGAGGCTCAGTAGGTGCATGGAAGCTGCCCACTTAAGGACAAATAACCAGACAGCATCTATCACTGTGCAATCAGAATATGTTGATTGAATATAAATCTAGGATGGTGCCAAAGGACTTTACCACACTGATTTCTTGAGTGACGGGTGTGGGTCCCTCCATTGATCTCCTAGATACTAGGGTTTGGGGGAGGCGGATACGTCCGGGCGTGATCCATAGATCGAAGCTCAAAAGTGAGATCGGTCAAGTTGTACGGAGCCCAATGCTTCATTTCCTCAAGAGCTCAGGATAGTTACCGGTCTCCCAATCCGGGGGGTGACCGGTCATCCACGACTCTTCTAAAATAGCTTCCAAGGTTCATCTTCAAAAATCGAAAGTGTGACCGGTCACCTATCTTCCGGGGGTGACCGGTCACCAAATGTCGCGCCCAAAAGTGTCTCTAATGACCATCCTCGAAGACCAAGACCGTGACCGGTCACCTTTTTCCGGGGGTGACCGGTCACCTAACGCCGTGCCTTAAATACTTGATTTGCCAAGTCCGAAAAAGTAGATCGTGACCGGTCACCTTTTTCCGGGGGGTGACCGGTCACCAAAATGTCGCGCCCAAATGTCTGCACCGACCATCCCCGTAAGACCAAGACCGTGACCGGTCACCTATCTTCCGGGGGTGACCGTTCACCTAAATCCGGGGGATGACCGGTCACCTACCACCATTCTCCAAAGTAGCCGCCTAGTTGAGTCCGAAAAGAAGATCCGTGACCGGTCACCTTTAATCGGGGGTGATTGGTCACCCAGCGCCATGCTCCGAATAGCCACCTAGTCGAATCCGGAGGATCCAAACCACCACTGGTCACCCGACCTCATGGTTGACACGTCACCTCGGTATCGACGAGTATACCTGGGTATGTAATATACCCATCAAATATAATTAACTAACCATATATAATAATACTACCTAATATAGTAATAATAACCACTAACCATTAATAATAATAATAATAATAATAATAATAATAATAATAATAATAATAATAATAATAATAATAATAATAATAAATCCCGTATCAGGTGCTCTCGGTCCTCCGATCCCTCAAAATCTCAAATTTTACGGTGACAATGTATCAACTATGTGTGTCACCAAGAATTTAGTTTCACATGACCGGACGAGACACATTAGTTCTGATTGTCATTATGTACGGGGCGAATTCATGAGTAGCACGATGACTAGCTACTCATCATGTACCTTCTATATATAGAGCTAGCAGTTAGCAGATATTCTCCCGAAACTGCTTCTACCAGCTCCGGTGCTTGTGTTCGAAGTTTCAGCTCATTACCGTTGATCAGCTCTTTAATTATGTCAAAATATTGGGCTACCATGCATGTAACTGTTTTATTTATTTTTTGCATAAACTATAGAGAAACTCTCATTGTCCAATCACATAAATTGAGTTATTGGCGTTCCGCTGATTAGTGAAATAAAATCCATCAATCATTATACAGGGTACAAATTATATATAGTGTTCAAAAGAAACATAATAAATTCACAGTATATTAACGCAATTAATTAAGTTGATTATATTTCTGGATGAGTTAAGTGCACCGTTTACCCCCGAATTCTTTGAAAATTGCATGATTTATCCCCGAACATTAAAAAGTGCACCAAATACCCCTGAATTTTTCAGAAATTGCACGGTTTACCTTTGAACAATAAAAATTGCACCAAATACCCCTGAACTCTTCAAAAATTGTAAGGTTTACTCCTGAACATTTAAATAAAGATGACAATTTTGGGTAAAGATATTTTGGAAAATTCACAAGGGTCAGATGAATGATATTCACAATTCTTGTGCGTGGAAGCAACGCCCTCTCTATCTAATAGTTTACGACCAACGATGCAACGTTTTAATTTGTTCAAGGGTATTTGGTGCATTTTTAGTCTGCAGGGGTAAATCGTGCAATTTTCGAAGAGTTCAAGGGTAATCGATGCACTTTTTAAAGTTCAGGGGTAAAACATGCAATTTCTAAAGAGTNATTGTAAGGTTTACTCCTGAACATTTAAATAAAGATGACAATTTTGGGTAAAGATATTTTGGAAAATTCACAAGGGTCAGATGAATGATATTCACAATTCTTGTGCGTGGAAGCAACGCCCTCTCTATCTAATAGTTTACGACCAACGATGCAACGTTTTAATTTGTTCAAGGGTATTTGGTGCATTTTTAGTCTGCAGGGGTAAATCGTGCAATTTTCGAAGAGTTCAAGGGTAATCGATGCACTTTTTAAAGTTCAGGGGTAAAACATGCAATTTCTAAAGAGTACGGGGTAAACTGTGGACTTAACTCATTTCTGGATAATAAATTTAATTTGTCATATGTTGCTGGCGCTGGAGTATACGTAGCTTTTCTTTCCAGGAGTCCTTTGTGATTTCAAATTTGCAGAGAAACCAGAATATGCATTTTTCTTGCTACTCGCCATTTTGCAGATCTCTGCAACGCTGAGAAATCCCTCGTGCTCTTTCACATACGATTGCTCGCAATATTCCTCCATTTTCATCCACTGCAATAACATATATACATCTATATATAAGATCTAAGGAAAGAAATAAGAATGTGTCTCGACATCATTAGATGTAAGATCTAAAGGCTTGAAAAATTCAAAAAAAAAATGAAAAATCTGAGAAACGTGGTGGCACTATGGTAAATAAGTTGAACTTTACTCCTAGTGTCGAAAATATATTACCAAAGTGTAAAAAGGCATCTTGAAGGCATAAAAATGCATCAATCTCCCGATAATATTTATTCTCGCACTAAGGACCATTCTCACTTGAACCAACCCCTATATATATGTGTATACACACACACAGATATATATATATATGTGTGTGTGTGTGTGTGTGTGTGTGTGTGTATATATGTTCTGATAGAATGAGATCTTAGAAGAGAAATTAGAATACATGTGGTGCTTTAGAATGTGAGATCTAAGAGCCATAAAAATTTCAAAAATAAGAAAAAATTAAAAAAAACGTGGTGGCAGTTTCGTAATTTAATTAAACTTTGTAAAATGCAATACCTGCGTAGAAAAATGCACCATGGCGAAATACGTGTTTTTTAAAATGCACCATTAGCGAACAAAAATGCACTATTCTCATTTATCTCCACAAGATTCATTCTTACATGAACCGGATATATATGTCTGTGTGTGTGAATAACACCTTACAGTGACAAAACCACACTATAGTCATTCAAGTTTCTTAGAAAAAAATCAGGAAAACAAAGAAGGTTTAAATCCCAAACTCCAAGATCTTTCAAATACCTGCCTGGAAAGTAAGCTGAGATAAGTAAATGAAACTATGCTAAGTCTGTGTTTTTTGCCTGATCTAATTTAATCTGATCTGATTTTTTGAAAATCTGATCTAATCTGTTCTAATTTGATCTCGTCTGATCTAATCTGGTCAGATCTAATTGCAGTTATAATTAAAGTTCTTTCTGATCTGATCTGGTTTGGTCTGATCTGATTATAATAAGAATAAGTAACAAACAAAAAAATTAAGTTGAACGGAACACTGCCTAAGTATTATGTTGATTGATAGAGAATGAGACCTGTCCATTCCTAATGCCTATAAGAATTCCATGCAGAGTATAGTCATTCTTTATCGTTGCTTTCAGAAATCGAATCTAGGTCTACCTATTTTGGCACTCACATCTCAACTACAAGAGCTACGCCCTTTTCTCTATTCCGTACGAATTCCATTCAGAGTATAGTCATTCTTTATCGTTGCTTTCAGAAATTGAATCTAGGTTTACCTATTTTGGCACTCACATCTCAACTACAGGAGCTACACCCTTTTCTCTATTCCGTACGAATTTAAACTGAATACTACATCCTATAAAATTTTTCTACTTTTAAAAAAATATGAGTTTAAGGAATGTGTAATTTTAGTGATATTTCCTAATAATTTTGCCATTAATTTTTTTTTATTGAAAGGGATGATAAGATGGACTAATAGTTCTGGATAAATATGACATGAAAGATAAGTTTATAATTCATAGGGGGTATAAGAGTGATTTTAGTTAAACTCTCCAAAATTAAATGGTAAATTTTTATTATGGAATATCAAGCTGGAGTAGGTATATTTACCTTGGCTGTCTCGATCTCAGAATCTTGCTTCGTGACAGTAGTGGAGAGTGGCTTTAACTTGCAAACAAAAAATAGGTCTGATTTGCTAAATAAAGCTTTGTGGTACTGTCTGCATAATGCAAGCCAATAACCAATTAAAAACAATTTCCTAATAGGCCATCTTCGAATCTTACACCTAAAACAATGTAAACTTTCAATACCAAAAATTCAAACTTATAAATGTAAGATTCTAACAAGAATCATAAAACTAACATCAAATATGCAAAATAAATTAGGACAGAAAAGTAAGGCATACCTGAAAGCAAGGAACTCGACGAACTCGGCGTCAATCTTCATAAGAAAATTTTAAACATGGAAATACATATTAAACCAATAAACTAGGGCTGTGGGTTGAATATGCAATCAAATTCAATTGCATCATAGGTCTCAAAATTATCGTCATGTTTATTGTTTCAGACACTCGATAACTTTTATTTGCGTTTGCATTTTCATTAATCATTGGATAAAATATAATTGACATGCAAGCACTTGTACAGAATTTTTTATGTCGTTTTTATACATGTAATTGTAATTTTTATTGTATACCAATATATAAAGAAAAACCCTTTCAAAAAATATATAAAGAAAATCAACTTAAAAGAGATTGAATTATAATTTGCATGTTGCTTAAAAAGGACGGTAATTTTGGTACGAAAGGAGTAAAACATATAGCCACTTTAACTATGTGATTCGTGTTAAAAAAAAACTATGTCATTCAATCCATATGTCCACTTTAATTATTCTCACTTTGACTTTTATGGCTAATGTTTTTAAACTTTGACAACAAGTAATGGAAAGAATATATTAAATTATGATATAAATTTAATACTAATGAGTTCATTTTGAAACGTAGTTTGCAAATATTACTTCGTATATATTTATAATATATATCTATCAATAAATAAAGACATCGATAGATGATCAAAATATAACTTGAATCGCAACCGTGAAAAGTCAAATTGAAGTGGATAGAGGGAGTCGTAAATACTCTTCTCGTTTAAAAAATGTTTATTCGTTTCACGAGGTTAAGAAAAATATTAAAAAGTGACAAATATATAACAAAAATGTGTATCCGAGAGAGATCTGATTACTCATATGACATATGTTCACTTTTTAAAAAGCAAATAAAAGTAATCGAAATTTTGATTTTTGGGGCGTTAAAGAGAAAATATGAGTAAAGCTTTAACAAAAAAATGAGTAAAGCTATTTTAGTACAGGTGGATTTTTCAAATGCAATTTTAAAACAAGTTTACGTACTACCTCCGTCTCATGAAGCATGAGACTTTTGCTTTTTAGGAGAAATTTAAGGGGAGTGCATTTTGGTATTGAATTTCCAAAAATATCATTTGATGTGATGAGTAAAAGTATGGATAGATTATTAGTAAAAAGGTATGATGTGATAGTTAGGGTATGAAAAAGTAAGGAGTAAAAGTGACTTTTTAATAGAAATGAGAAGTGTTTTGTGGGACGGATAAAAAAGGAAAGGAGAAAGGTTTCATGGGACGGAGGGAGTATTATTTAGGAAAATGACTTAAATTTTAGTGCTATATAGGACAAATATTTCTTTTTTATTTTCTGATCTAGACCTAGCTTCCTTAGCTAAGTTAGCTTCTTTTGGAGGAAAAATTAAATACTCCCTCCGTTCTCAAAAACACTTCCTCTTTCATTTTTTCCACTTTCAACAAAACACTTCTCCTTTCTATTAAAAAACCATTTTTACCCTTACTTTTTCATACCCTACCTATCACATCATACTTTTTCTCTAATAATCAATTCATCACATCTTACTTTTACCCATCACATCAGGGGCAAAATTGGAAGTCAACTATAATTTTACACTTCCTTATTTTGGCTCCAAGTCAAAGTAGGAACCTTTTTAGCAAACGGAGGGAGTAATATTTATAAATTGTCTTACTCCGGTCTCTTCTTTAACTTCTCTTACTGCAGCATCACATACATCCTCACCCTAAGAGAGATCAGAATAAACATAAAAGAACACTAATTAGGGAGAGATAATTAGATAGATTAAGAAGAGAGATATTTTGTATTGATTTTCCAAAAATATCCTTGATATGATAACTAAAAGTAAGATGTGACGATGGATGGGTAGGGTAAGAGTTCGTAGGGGTAAAACTATTTTTTTATTAGAAAGAAGAGGGATTTTGTGCGTCAAAAAAAAAAAGAAACGAGAAAGAGTTTTATGGCAGAATAGAAACCTCTTCCACTAAGCCAGTGGGCATTTTCCAAAATCCGGTTCCGGCAAAGTAACCATTTTTTTCTTGCACCACAAGCATCTGCAAAATTTACAGTTAATGATGTAATGAAATTAAACATATTTTGTTAGTTTCAGATATACCGAGTATCTGTCAAACACACACATTTTAAATGTCCAAAATTTTACTCTCCGGCGTGAAAAAATGGGAAATTTTTATTTTTCAATGGATTTAAAAAAAGTGTATTTTGGTGTTGATTTTCTAAAAACGTCCTTGCATGTGATGGGTAAAAATAAGATTTGATAGGTAGATTAAGGGTAAATAGATGTGAAGTGATATATAAGTTAAGAATTAGTAGGGACAAAAGTGACTTTTTAATAAAAATGAGAAATGTTTGGACGGATGAAAAAAGAAAGAGAGGAAGTAGAATATACTCCCTCCGTCCCGGAAAACATGGGAGTTAAGATTTTGAAGAGGATTTAAGTGGAGTGTATTTTGGTATTAAATTTCCAAAAATGTCCTTTGATGTAATGGGTAAAAGTATGATTTGATGCATGAATTATTAGTAAAAAAATATGAAATGATAGGTAGGGTATGAAAAAGTAAGGGGTAAAAGTGACTTTTTAATAGAAATGAGAAGTGTTTTTTGGAACGGATGAAAAAAGAAAGGAGAAAGGCTTTCAGGGACAGAGGGAGTAATATTTAAGATAAATAAAAAATGAATTACCTCTTCATGTTCATTGATTACAAAAGCTCCAATGCCAACTTTATGTGAAGCATTTGAAGGGAGAGTGGAAGGAGTTTTTGGGATCCAATACACCATCATTATGTATGTTTTTTCAGCATGATGATACCAAAACCCTTCCTGCAATGGAGAGATGGAAGAAGTATTTAATTAAGGAATAATCAAATTGGAATTGATTATTCCAGTTTGATTATTCCAGATTGACATTAACTTTCAATATTATAATGCGACATTGAAATTAAAGCCCACGGTGCTCCGTTGGAACTGATTAGTACTCCGTACCTTTTTTGCAACATCAACGAGATCCGAAAGCTCTATCGGAAGTTTCAACCAAACTCCTTTTTTCCCCTAAGAAGTGATTAAAATTGTTCAGATGAGAGAAACTTTATGTTATGAGGGCGCCCTATATTCATTACAAAAATAAGAAATAAAATACTCGGCAAATAAGAGTGAAGTTTTTATGAGAAGGTCCAAAATATAAAAAATGTAACATTCTTTACAGGACAGAACAAATGGTGTAATTAATTATATGTATTAATGATATAATACATACTTGTAGTCTCCAATTGAAGAGTGAAGCTTTAAGTGAAGCAGCAAAGGAGGAAGGATTCATCATCTCCTTCATCTCTATCACAACTCCTCCATACTTATCATCTTTTTTCTCAAGTATTTTCACACCAGATGTAAACAAATCTTTTGCATACAGTACCTTCATACTAATGATAATCATAATTTCGATGAAGCAAATGTATAGTGCGTGTAGACTCATATAATGATACATTATAGTATATTATCTTTTATTTGTATATTAGCAACTTAATGTATATAGTGACTTGGGGATTGAAAGACTGACTTAATTGAAGTGCCTCTTTTAAAATGGTGAATGGATATATATATACTTCAAAAATGTCATTTGATGTTATGGGTAAAAGGGTAAAAGTAGATTTGATGAATATATTATTAGTAAAAAAAGTATAATGTGATAGATAGTGTATATATGTATATGTGTGTGTGTGTGTGTGTCATAGGTGGCTCGGTGGGTGTGCAAAATGACCGACTACACAGGGCCCCTGGTGTGTGAGTTTATTCCTATTCTTTTTAATTGCATACGTCAAGAATAATTTGGTCAAGCTAAAAGTAATTAATGCCCTATGAACGTGTACCGTACGTTGCTTTTAAAAGGTTTTTGTTGGCCCATTTGTCCCCCACCCCCTCCATCACTACAAAAAAAGCAAGAAATTAAAAAAAATTAAATAAATAAAAATAAAATAAAATTAAATAGTGAAGAAAGGGGTGGGGGACAATTGGGGTACACCAAGGTGTACCCCTAGTATTGCTCATTACTTCCCCCATCTTAAAAAGAAATTAGACATTACCATTCATGTTTGAAATTATTTTAAATTTCATTTCATTTTCATATAAGTATCAAATTCAAAAATAAAATACACATATTAAAAAATCATATCAATTTTTTTAAATAGTAAGTGAGATTATTTTATTTAATTAGTGGAAATATGCAAAAACAAATCACTATGTGAATAATAAATTTAAAAATATCATCCATTTAATTGTCATTTGATAAATATTTCTTACGGAAGACCATTTAGGAATAAAACTAAATTAAAAATGATCAACACAGGAAATTTGTGCTATTCAGGACTTATTTAGAAAAAAAAACATTTTATTACAAAGGACCATTTTGAGAATATACTTTTTTTAATACCAATTAATATAAGATCACTTCTTTTAAAAAACGTAACACTTTGCATATTGCTCGAAGAGTATAATTGAATTTAAAACAAAGAGAGTAATATTACAGAATAATAATCACAAAAAAAAAATTACTTTGAAGAATCTTTCTTTTCATCCTCTGTCCTCTTCTCTAGGCCTCTCAATGCTTTATTGACTTAGCCCTTAAGGCATATCTAAGACCATTTGCTTTGGATGACGCTACCATACGCACCAAGTCAATTTTACTGACATCAGCTTTTTTTTTATTACAGCTATCACTCCACAGGAGTCTGGATCACGCCCACCAAGCCCATCACTCCCATTTTTTCTTATGTTTTTTAAAATATATTTAAATAAAAATAATTCAAATCAAAAACATTAAGTAAATATTTTATTAAGATTTAAATAAAAATTACATCGACATAATGCGAAAAAAATAAGAGTGATGGGTGGTGGAAAAAATACAAGTACTTGATTGAAAGTAATTAATGCCCTATGAACGTACGTTGCTTTAGGCTTCGTTTGGTAACAGCGTTTTCGATTAGCGTTAGCGTTTTGGATAAAATTTTAATGGTGCAGATTAATTCTGAAAACGCTAACGCTAAAGGCTACCGTTGGATAGCTTTTTCAAAACCCTAACGCTAATCTCTGAAGCTGATGCCAAACGGGGCCTTAAAATGTTTTTGTTTTTGTAAAGATCTAAAAAAACATTATATTACTTCCCCATCTTAAAAAGAAATTAGACATTACCATTCATGCTTGAAATTATTTTTAAATTCATTTCATTTACATATTAGCATCAAATTCAAAAATAAAATACACATATTAAAAAATCAAATCAATTTTTAATTTTTTTTAAAATAGTAGGTGACGTTATTTTATTAAATTAGTGGAAATATGCAAAAAAAATGACTATAGATCGAGTAATAAACAAAATGCAAGTTTCATAGAATCTTCTTAAAATGTTGGAATGTCTTTTAACTTTTTTTATTCATTTTATGTTTAATGTTTTTACTTCTTCATACTCAATACTTCTTATGTCCCGTAATAATGTTTAAGAATTGGCTAGATATGGATATTAAGAGGGGTGAAATCATGTGATTAGAGTTTTGCGATATACATTCTCTGTCCCGAAATGATTTATACTTTTACTCTTTGAGCTTCATGATAACTTTTATTTACTCTGTATTTTCATTGATTATTTGATAAAATAAAATATTCTTTCTTACATTTCGTTTTGTGGATTTTTTGATTAATTTTTATAATGAAGTGTTTTCCTAAATTAGTCTTCAATAAACAATAATTACTTGCATGATCTTTTATAATTTAGATTTACTTCTTAAATGATCATCTACCAAAACATATATTAAATGTCAGTCAAATAGAAGATATTTTTGGCATTTTTTATCATCTAGACTTAAAATATATGTTTTCGAAATACTTCTTTATAATTAAGTATTTTTTTCTAACTGAAACATTCTAAGAAATTTTTTTCTCGAAATAGAGTCCATGAGTCTACTCAGGGTGGGTTAAATACAAAATATAAAAATATTATCTATTTAACTGTCATTTAATAGAGATTTCTTACAGAATATCATTTACGAATAAATCTAAATTGAAAAGGATCACACATGTAATTTTTGTTTAATAAGGATTAATTTAGTAAAACACATTATTATAAACGACCATTTTAAGAGTATATTCTTTTTTATACCAATTTATATAAGATCACTTCTTTTTTTATAAGATCTTGCATGTTATAAATGAATTTGAAACAAAGAGAGTAATAATACGGAATAATAGTCCTTTGAAGAATTTCTCTTTTCGATCCTTTGTCCTCTTCTCCATGCCTCTCAAATCTTAATGCTTTATTGACTTAGCCCTTAAGGCATATCGAAGATCATTTGCTCTGGATTACGTCATCACGCTCATGACGTCATCTTCCTCAGAGCGGCGTAAGCTTTTCTTTTTTCTATTACGGCTCATCACACCATAGGGGTATGGATCACGCTTACCAAGCCCCTCACTCCCAATTTTTTCTTAATCATTTTTTAAAATATATTTAAATAAAAATAATTCATAATAAAAACATTAAGTAAATATTTAATTAAACTTTAAATTAATAAATATATTGACATAATACAAAAAAAAGAAATAAGAGTGATAGGTGGTGGAAAATACAAGCACTTGATTGAAAATAAGAAACTACTTTTTTAAATCAGCATTTCATTAATTTACGTTTTCTTTTTTTAATTTAATTAACCAAAAACAAAAAAATTAAATTAAAAACAAACAAACTAAAATAAAGTTAAAATAAAAAGTAAACAAATAAAAGAAGAAGTAGAGAAAAGAAGAGAAAGGGGCGGAAGAGAGAGAAAAAGAGAGACGGGTGAAAGGAAGATAAATCAAAAAACAAAAGAATAAGAAAGGGGAAGAAACAAAGCAAAAAAAGAAAAAAAATACTTGTGTTGATTGTGATAGGCATCACCACCATCACGGTCGTCACACCTATGGAGGGCGGTGTTCCACAGCGTGATACGGCGAGTGAGGTGGCGTTAGGTGGCCATCACGACGCACCATGGCCACCCCACACCGTTTGGTCTAATGATCAATAGAAATATGCATTATGTGGGAAAATGAAGAGATAAGAGAGGGGGCGATTAAGCATGAGAGAAAAAAAGTAAAGTATGAGTAATAATACATCGATAATATACTAAAATAGAAGTTTCATATTTTTATTCTGAAAATAGGAGTTTAAATACATTTACATTAGTAATTATGGTCATGTACATTTTGTGAAATGCACATATACTTTATTTACTTTCTTTCTCTATTTTCATTAATTATTTGATAAAATAATATAGTCATGTCACGAGTAATTTTGTAGATCTTTTGATCAGGTTTTAAATATGAAATTTTTATTTTTTATTTCTACATCGTTTTTCATCTAAAATTATTTAAAAATAGTTTCAGTCAAACATCATAAACTGAAACAGTTAATATAAATTAGAACGGAGGGAATACGATTATCTTTTATACAAAAAGAAATATACTATCGAAATTAATGTATTAACACAACTAAATATCTATGTTGACATTTCAAATACAATTTTAAAAAATGTATTTTTATATCATAGCTATTTTCATAAATACTTATAAAACAGTTGCTTGCCTAAAATTATCTTTAGTATTAAGATGACTACGAAAACTCATGCTTCTCCATTTTTAGCAGCATTGAAACACTTTTTCACATAAAAGTTTCCACTCTAATTCCATTTTGGCACTCCTTGTTTCTGGCTCATGCAAAAGATCAATAGGAAGCAAAAACATAAAGAGGAACAAAAGAACTTGCATAGAATTTTTACCGTCTGAATTTCAGCGCGCGCGCCCACGCACGCGCGCGCACACACACATATATATAAATGCTTGATGAACACCACTTGGGGTACATGTGGTGTACCCCAAGTCGTGTTCCCCTATATATATATAATGGCAACCAACTAAAGCTCAAAGCAAGGAGTGAAGAAGAAGATATCACCAAGGCGATCATTGGTGGGTGAATTACCCCCAAACACCAGAAGGCCTTCTTGCCCATCTCTCTGCCCTCCAGCAAAGGCACACCATCCCCTTGGCCCCGGATGGTCTCCCTTGGCGTCCCACAGCTTCCAAACCAGTGTTTCAGTGTCAAGAGCATAAACCTCTCCACAAAACTTCCCAGCGCCAAGGTGCCCTAAATCGCTCGGGTCTACTTCCCCGCCGTATATAAATATGTACTTCCCAATGCCCAGTGTGGAGAACACACTTCGGGCACTTGGTTTCTCACCGCTAGTCTGGACCTGGTTCCATTTCCCTTCGACCCGATCAAAACAGTGCACGTCGTCAAGCTCATCGCCGGAAAACCCATACACAACCCAGATTTTCCCGAGGACCGTGGCCAGTCCGGGCCCACCTCTACCTTTGCAAGAATCTCCGGGCAAGGGGAATTCCACCCAGCTTTTGGTGACAACATTGTAAGCCCAGAGATCATTAAGCCGACCGGTCAGACCGCACCCGCCGAAGATGTATATGGATTGGTCGTCACATGTCATTGAGTGGTAGCTCCGGCAGGGAGGCCCATTGTCGCTGTTTGACAAAAGGGCCCACTTGTTTGTGGATGTGTCAAAGGAATAGAGTTCGTTCAGCTCTCTGTGCTCTGCATCTCTTCCACCAAACACATATATGGTTTCGCCGATGGATGCCATAGTGACCCCAACACGAGGAGGAGGAACATCTCCGGTGGCAGCCTCAACGACCGACCAAGTTTGGTCGTTTAGATCAAACACGTAGAGTTTATTGTCAACGGGGACACGCGGGGTGAACTCCCCGCCGAACGCATAGACTTTTTGTCCTACAATGGCGATCGCATGAGAGCTCCTTGCCCCGGGTCCAATGCCTGATTGTTCCAGCTGCATTAAGTTTTAGTACTACTTAGTGCAAATATTTCTTAAGACATTTAGTATATTCCATGATTAACAACTCGACTTAGTAAAGAAATCTCAAATACTGATTTCATTTTGACAATTCATGGTTAGCACCTGAAATCCACAAAACTAGCAAAACAAATGCATGAAGCCATGAACCAAGCAGGAGTTAAGATAAACATCCTAATATAAAGAAAACATCATCATCATCCTTAGAACTCCCTCATTTTCTCCCCATTACAAAATTTACCCACTCCAAACAGAGTATAATCATCTATTTTCCTTCACTAATCTCCCCCAGAATCCAAACACAATGTAATTAAGTAGCATTAAAGCCGAAAAGAAGCATTATTAGAGTCAATTCTAACTCAAAACCAAGATATTCTAAAGTTCTCTCACCTTGATATCCAAACACAATCCAAACCTGATGAGTGAAAAGTAACCAATGTTTTAATTAAGACCAAATATCGTCCATAAAAATCCCCATTCCGAGTAATTAAGCGCACAAAGGTGCTCTCGCGCACTGAGGAGCAAGGCGGATCCGAGTCGCGCCATTTCTAAATGAAACACAGTTAATGAATACCAGCAATACATCTAATATTGATATGCCAAGCACATAGAGAGAGAAAACAGCCACGTTCAAAATAAAGCCGAAAGTACAATAAACTTCAATTACATTTGGTGGTAACATACATTCCTCCACGCTGAAACAACGATTTATAAAGCATCAAACAATTTGATAATTAAAAGTTGGATATGAGCATATGACAAATTCAAAATGTAAACAATAATGGATGCAAAAAATAACTACAACAACAAAAACCAGTGTAATCCCAACTTCATTGGGGTCTGAGGGGTCAAGATGTACGCAATCTTACCCCGTAAAGACATAGAGGTTGTTTCCATTAGACCCTAGATGCGTTGCTGCATTTACTGCCCAAAACTTCACAAGAAGTAAGAAGCAAGGGAAGAGTAGCGTTTCATTTTGATTTGATCAATTATGTGCTCGAAACGAAAACATTGCCAATAATGACTCTTTTAGCTGCATTGGCAATGGACAAAGGATGGGGAAATAACTAGTAAATGGAATTATGCTTCAGTAAATTCAAAACTATTACTGTTTGATCTTCATCAGTTGATTATCAAGCGCCACAATCCAACCCACAAAAGCTTATAGCCCTAAACAGAGCTGTTCTAAGGTTTTATACAGAAAACACTCCAACGGTCGAGGCAATGCAAGAGAATCAACACACATTTCCACACAGAAAACATCAATACAGAGAAAATTTCATCATAAAATTCAAAGTGTTAAGATTTACAGTAAAATAAAAATAAAATCAGACATGAGCAAACCTCAATCCATTTTCCCTCGGCTCGAGCCATCACAAACAAACCCTGCAGTGAATACCAACTTATCTTGCAGAATTTTATCACATAAAACTTCAAAAATCAAATTTCGCAGCACATTGAGAAACCAACAGATTAAGAAAGCCCTCTTTCTGGTTCATAGGATTCATATATTTTTTTTAAAATTTCCATAATAGAAACTTAAATTGAAGAGTAAATTAAACAAAATCTTACTGGTTTTGGTTGCAGAGAAGAACGGGTTCAGACGCAGAGCCGACTCCAAATCTCCACTATGAAACTGAAACGATGAAGTCCATAAATTGGATTTGTCAACAGTAATTATACTCCATAAATTTATGATCCGTATATCAAATTACTGCGAACATTCACCGCGTCATTAACTACTCCCTCGTACGGAGTAATTTACACTGGGTAGGTGATGAACCAGGCTTGGGATATGCTAGGGGTACACCAAGGTGTACCCCAAATGTACATCACCCCTCTTTATCATTCATTTTATTTATTTTTTTAATTTTTTTTTTTGAATTTTTCTTGCTTTTTTTGTGGTGATGGAGGGGTGAGGATGTTTGGAGTACAATTTTGGCGTACCCCTAGCATTTTCCACCAGGCTTCCCTACCCTTCTATGAAGTATTTTGAAAGGGAGATGCTAGGGATACACCAAATAGTGTATCCCAAATGTCCCACACCCCCTCCATAATCACTCTTTTTTATTTGATTTTTATTTACTTAATTTTTTTGAAATTTCCTACCTATTTTTCTGGACAAGGAGTGTGTGGGAGATATTTGGGGTACACCTAAGGTGTACCCCTAGCATTTTCCATTTTGAAATGAAACGTACAATTATGTCATTTCAGAAAATTTAAGTATTAATAATTCAAATATTGAAATGAAATCTAAAGTTTGTACTCCCTCCGTCCCTAAATATTTGCAACGTTTGCTTTTTCAGCGCTGTGGGAACTTTTGTTTATTTTTACGTTTTCATTGGTTATTTGATAAAATAAAATATTCTTGACACCTCTTATTTCGAAGAACTTTTCATGTAGTTTTTTTTGATATGTAAATTTTATTTTTTATTTCTATACCAATATATAAATAAAATGAATTGAAAATACTTGATATTTTGCCTCAAGAATATAAGTGTGGCAAATATTTAAGGACGGAGGGAGTATAAAAATAGTGTACAAGTTTGTTTTGAAAAATGTATAAAAATTTAGAGAATCATATAACAAGTCTACATTTAGGAAACAACGATTTTTTTTACAATAATGTAATACTACCTTCGTCCATGAGTATTTGTCCAATTTTAATTTTTCTGATCAACTCTTTTCAACCTTTGACCTATAAATAAGTAAAATATATATTGTATATTAATTATATAAAATAATATTTTGAAAATATTTGATATAATAAATCTTATAAAACTATTTTGTATCAATATCTAATATCATTTTTATTTGATTTGAAGTCAAAGTTTACCAATTTTGATCAAAAAAATCAAAAATAGACAAATTTTCAAGTATGGAAAGAGTACTAGAATATTTAATGAGTATAAAATGATGAGAATAAAAATCATTAAAATGATACCGAATAGAAAATTTAATAAGAATAAATATAATGAAAGAATACCAAAAGCAGTAATCTTTATATCATAAGATAAAGTACACAAATAAATAGAGTACACTTGAAATATTCTGTAGTTAACTTCAAATAAACGGCTTGATTCGTGATAATCGAGTTATTCTTTTGTATCATGGTCTCGTCTCATTTGAAACTGGTTCGGGTTCGATTCTCGGTTAAAAAACAAATCATCGTTTTAAAACACGATAAATGGTTCAGTACTATTACGGGGTAGTATAGTGACACATTAGTTCGATTTTTTGTCCATCCTTAGGCAAGATTACTATGGACAAATTTACCTTGATGAATATGGGGCTGTTCCCCCAGTAAAAAATTGTACTCCCTCCGTCCGGAAATATTCTTCCCACTTTCCTTTTTGGTTCCTCCGGAAATATTCTTTCCATTTCCTTTTATAGTATACAATTTAAGGTTAAATATCAATAATACCCTTCTATTTTATCACAAATCTACTTTTTTAGTACTTTTTTAATAATAAAAGGAGATTTAACAGTTTATAGTATATGCATTTTTGAAAATTTTACATTTTTTTTACTATTCCTTAATAAGTGTGCCAAGTCAACACGAGAAGAATATTTTCGGACGGAGGGAGTATTTGTAATATATTTGTTATTTAGTTGTGCCTAGCCCAATTACTCAAAACTCCAAAGAACACCCAAAAATTACTCTCCTGCATTCGATCTTATATCTTGTTCTCATCTGCATGAGGTCAGAGACCACGCTATGCCACCCGCAAGGGCAATAGGTTAGAGGCCAGACGACAAGAGATAGATAGATCGGATTTATCTCTTAATTATTCCAAAGTCCCAAGCTCAATTATTTACTCCCTCCTGTCCCAGAAAAGAATTCTTATTTTGAATAGTATTTAGTCAAATATTTATAGTTTTTTACTACAGATTGTGAGAAAAAAAATATTGAATTGTAAAATAAATTTAATATAATTGGATTCATCTTAGGATCTGGTTTTGATATCTCAAATTTTTTTAACATTTCTTTATTTAGATTATATTTAATTTATGGTCAAAGCGTGTAACTGTTTGACCAAAAATACATCAAAATGAGAACTTTTTTGTGGGATAGAGAGAGTACAATTTATTTATTTTCATCATTATAAATCGTTTATAAAAAAATTCGAGGGCGCTGCCCCCGAATCCCCCCACCCCCCACGCCTGCCTTTCTCTTTACTCTCACATTTCTCCCACTAGCAATATTCTGGATCCGCCCCGGAAGATTACTCTCTCTTGGCAGTTGGCCCTTCTTCATTCTGCTCCCTCCTTTGAGTCGTATCCATAAAAAAATTTCTCATTTTACCATATTCGTCTCAGTATTTTTTTGTCTAGTTTTGACTACTCACATTCAAAATTACAAAGTTATAAACTTTAATCATTAGATATTGATACAAAATTTTTTTATTAGACTTATCCTGTAAAATATTTTTAAAATATCATTTCATCTTATTACCATACAATATTGATTTTATTTAATTATTAGTCAAAGGATGATCCGATTGATTATAAAAAGTCAAAATTAGACCAACACGTAGTCGGAGCAAGGTTAACTGTAGACATATTTAAAGAACAATTTATACTATGGACAAGAATTCTGGTCCCATTGTCTCAATTTGAAACATCCGTGTCACGTTCCCATAATGGTCCATTTCTCTTTGGATGAATTTGTTTGGAACCCGTCTCGAACCAATTTACAATGGAACGGGACTGTGACGGATAAAAAAAATCACATTCCATCTCGTTGTACTTGGATACATAATACATGTATAAACCCAAATATTCATTCACAATACTTTTTTAAATCCAATTTTATAAGATTTGTAAACTAAAATCTAATTTCTTTTTAATGTTTGTATATGTTTTTATTTCACTTTTTTAGAGTTTATTAATAAATATTTGTATAAAATTATAAAATTAGTTGTTTGTGTCAACATGCTACAAATTTTTGTGTTTACATTTTATAAAAGGTGCAAACTAAGACATTTTAAACCAATCCGAATTGTCTCGGTCCCAAAAAGAAAGGGTCCAAAGTAAGACAATTTCATGTTCTGGTGAGTTCCTTCCGACCCATTCCAATGAAACGAGATTGGGACCGGAACAACTACAAACCCGTACCCACCCTAATATATAAAGAAATTTCATTGAATAAGAGTAAAAAAGTATTAAAATACTAAAATAAGAGTTTTAAGTCTTTTAATACTAAATTGTGAACTTTACTTGGAGAATGAGTATATATTTATTTTTATTTATTCAAAAAATTACATGCAAGAATAAATAATAAAAAATATACATTTTTTGTCCAACAACAAATAATGAAAGGCTACCCTTCATGGCTTTTCATATTTTAGCTTTATGGACTCAGACAGCCAACCCCAATAGTCAAATGTCAAACACTCCTTTTTATTGTTTTAATTAGTCAAAACAACCAAAATTGATCAAATTATCCAAAAGCCAAAAACGAAACATTGCCCAAATGTTTCTTCGGGTTTTTGATTATACAGGATATTGCACAAAATAAAGTAAAATTTTATATTTTTTTGCAATTCCATTTATTTACAGATCAGTAAAGAAATAAAACATAAAATTGCATATTTAAAAATTAAGTTAAAAGTTTTACAAAATAAGAAATAAGAAGAATATATAAATTTATCACATAACTAATAAAAATACCCAAAAAATAAAAATTCCCACGACTTTTGAATTGTTAACTGCGATATTTTTTTTGAGACGAGAGAGTATTTTTTTTAATTCATAGGGAGTATGAAAGTTAACGTAAAATTAAACAAATTAAAATTTTTAGTTCATATGTAAAAACTTCTGAAAAAACTGGACAATGCTATGGTCAGTGTTGAGGCACTTATTTTGGGCAGGTTTTTTCTGTCACCGAGTTGCCGCAGGGTTCCATTTTAATTATGAATTACATTAATATCAAAGTGTTATACTCTATTGCACTATTCACCGAACTTTTCAAAAATTGCACAAGTTCCACCGAAACTTTAAAAATTCTACCTAAGCTCCTTGACCTTTAAAAAATGTTGTATCAATAATCTCTTTGTGCTGGATTTGGAAGTGCGCTAATCACGCGCTCATCCAGTGCAAGTATGGATACATTTAAAGTTATATATCACACGTGAATTCTACAATATGCATTTTCCAAACATTATCTTTTATATGTTTAGTCTCTTTAGAACCTAAATAATTATTCTTGATATATTTTCCGGTAACCGAATTCCAAGACAGATCATAGGTCGATAAAACTCGTCATCGTTCGATCAATCGCTTCTTCAATGCAAGACATCTTCATCAAGTTCCAATGCGTATACTGATGAGCATTTGATTAATGCACTCCGAAATATGGCACAGAGAGACCATTAGTGCAACATTTTTAAAATCTCAAGAGACATTAGTATACTCCCCACTGTCCTAAAATGTTCTTTCCAGTTACTATTCACATGGCCGAACTTTAAATAAAGTTGAAGGTGAATTTATACCGTCTATAAAGGTCAGAGGTAAATAGCTCACAAAAAAAAACTCCATCTATTTGCTACTCCACACCCATATTTCCAAAATTTCACACATCTTCTTTACCATAAAAATTGGTGATGAAATAATATAATGTTGTACTATGATGATGTGGATTTGGATGGACCAAAGCAATCAAATAAAAAGAGAAAGCAATGCCCACCCGTGAAATAATTCACAAAAAAGAAAGTTACACATAATAATGTGGATAGAGTGGTGCCAAATTAGTACT